CAAAATTCAACGATCCAATCCAAAAATGGGCATCTGAGATGAATACGCAATTCTCAGATGAAGAAATGCAAATGGCAAATAAATACATGAAAAAATGCTCATCATCATTGGTCATTAGAGAAATGCAAATTAAAACCACACTGAGATACCATCTCACTCCTGAAAGAATGGCCAGGATCAAGAAAACCAACAACAAATGCTGGAGAGGCTGTGGGGAAAAAGGAATTCTCCTGCACTGCTGGTGGGAGTGTAGACTGGTACAGCCTTTGTGGAGATCTGTCTGGAGATTTCTCAAAAAGTTGGGACTGGAAATCCCATTTATTCCAGCTATTCCACTTCTAGGCATATTCCCAGAAGAACTGAAAGCATCATACCACAGAGATATATGTGCACCTATGTTTATAGCAGCACAATTTGTAATCGCCAGATCTTGGAAACAACCCAAGTGTCCATCAACTGAGGAATGGATAAAAAAGTTGTGGTATTTCTATACAATGGAGTATTATTCAGCTATAAAGAAGGATCACATTGAGATATTTATCAATAAATGGGCGCAGCTTGAGACCATACTCATAAGTGAAATAAATCAATCTCGCATGTGTGAATACCGAATAGTTTCCCTAATGTAAGTAATGATTCAAATATATAAAAATATGTGGTAATCATGATTCCCCATTAGGTGGCCTTGAAGCCTTATAAAGTTTTCACTCATTAATTAGAAAGGCTTTATTCTGGGCTTCTTGATATGAAAATATTTGAAGCTAGAGTATATGAAGTTTTATCCAAATATTTCAAGGAAAAAGACACTATGGTAACTACTATTAAGTCGGGTTATATGGTGGTGAAGTACTAGGTTGTTGAAACAGTCATGCTGTGACCTCTATTGTTATATTGTTATGTCCTGTTTTATCTTAATCTCCCCCTTATTGTTTTAAAAAAATTATTTAGTCATTTCTTATGTTTGTCTTAATTAAAGAAAAAATTCAAAAAAAAAAAAGAAAACTAATCTTTCAGTTTAAATTGGCAAATCAACTTTTCAGGACAGCTACTATAACCGTTTCTCTCACTAGTTTAAAACTTAAATTTATTTAATGCTGTTAAGCATATTGCTATCTCCATTATTATAATCAGAAAGTCAAAGTTCATAAAGAACAAATGTTTCTTATCCTACTGTACTAGTAAATGGGACAGTGACGATTGGGGAACACATATTTTAGAAATAACACATAAATATATATTTCCCTTTTAAATTTAATTCTTATTCATGCAAGTCACTTTCTGTTCTTGTTAATGCAAACATTAACTCCTCTCTGTAATTCTCAGTTAGTTTTTACTTTATCTAATCATATTATTCTTTCTCCCCTTTGCTAGCAACTGCTTTCCTTATGTTTCTTTTATTTCTGTTGTCAGTTTCTATGAAGAGTTACTTGGGATCCCAGATTGTTTTGTTTCAGATGAAACACTCCAAGTTATCTATATGCCTGTTTTTTCACATCAACATTAGAATTTATCATACTACGAAAATATTTAATACATAATAATCAAGATCATTCTCAATCTGTATATTTGGAACAAGGATATTGTGCTTTCTACAAAAAAACCTATCGCTTCAGATTTCAGATATTTCCATCTATCTGAAGAAAATTTCATTTTCACATAAAATCTTATTCATTTCTTGTTATATTATTTCACATGGCCATTATACTTAGCTGTATTGCATTTGAAATGTAATATTAAATGTTAGAATTCTGATCCTGGATATTGATCTTATATCCAGTAACACTGCATTCTCTCAGTATTTCCAATGTTATTATTTGTACAGTCATTAAAAGTATGTGTGTACATATCATCTGTGCACAAGAGAATTTCATTTCCTCTCTTCTTGGGTTTAAAAAGAATGCTTCCAAAAATTAATCACAGAATTAAGAATTAACCACATTAAATGCTGTAGATTTTTTATGCATGTTCCACATTAGTGTATAGAAGTTATGTAACTTGTTTCTGCATCATCTTTCAAAAAAAACCCCTTTTAAAAATTTTTATTGACTTATGTTTAATAAGTTCATTTTGAGCAACTGTTACATATACAAATTATATCTTATCATTTTCTATACCGTTTTCTTCCTTCTCTACTAGTTTCTCGTTTTTCTTTTATTCCTTCTCTACTGTTTGTTTCTTTTACCTTCTTCCCATTCCCCATTCCAGAGAGTTCACCTCTTAGTCTCCTATCATTCCTCCTTTATTAATTAATTTGGGGTTTCATTTTGAGAAACTTTTAGTTTTCTGTACCTGATTTACTTAAAAATTATGCCATCAATATCCTTTCTGCTTCAAGTGACCTGAATTCATTCTTTATAACTGAATAAAATTCCATTATGTATATATACATTTATATTGTCTATTCATTCTTTTTAAATCAATAGTAGGTATGGATTTTAGCAGGCTATTTTGTGTATTTAGTGAATTTAACATTTTTTGGAACATAATATGATACTCTTCATCTTGCTCTCTTGACATTGACCTGGTTTGCCAACTACATTTATATTTTACAAGAGTTGATTTGCTACCAATGTTACTTTTTTTTTTTTCTCATTTATCTTCTACTTGGCCTATATGATTGTTTTGATAGTTGTGTGCCATAGTGTCTATAAAATTCTTGCCTCATGTATTGGGGTAGCAATGGAATGGGGTTTCTTAGTATTATAGATGCGTTCACTTAAAAAATTTGAAATTCTACTTTTTAAAGCAAATTATTTGTTTGCAAATTCATTGCCTTCAAGTTTTTCTAAGCATGTTTCTATTGTATTTTAATTGTAGTTTTAATTAGCTTTCCCTTATTAAATTAAAATTTATATTGCCTCAATAAAGAACACAACCCTAGAAGTAGCTACACCAATATTCTACTTTTGCTTCTATCACTTCTAGATTTTTGGATTTTCAGCCAGGGGCAACTTTGCTACTGAGTTTTCTTCACTTTTAAAATCAACACAATATTCCTTTTCTACTTACTTATTTCCAATAAAGCTCAAATAATAGGATTGAAAAAGCTTAAAAAAAAAAAAACAAACAAAACAGCAAGCATTAGGTATGATCTTCTACAACTGCAGTACCAGGTATTCAGGAGGCTGAGGCAGGACAAGGAGGAAGGCAAATTTGGGAGTAGCCTAGGCAATCTTGTGATATCTTATCTCAAAAATTTAATTAAGGGCCGGGGGTGTATCTCTGCAGTCCCTGATCTGAATCCTCAGTAATGCAAAAATAAGTAAACACTAAGAACATGAAAATAAACAAGAATTTGTGGGTTTCTCTGCAGTTCTCTTTTCATACAAGGACATCACTTTAATATTTTCCTCCAAAATGTTACAGTGGGCATCTTTTGGAACATGAAGATGAAAAAACTTATATCCTTCACAGTACAGTAAAACTCTGGGAGTTTTAATGTTATCTCAAGTTGTTTTGAGAACTGTTATTTTCACTGCTTATTTTTAACACTATTGTGAAACTACATTTAATATTGTGCTTTGCAGTGACAAGTCTCATTTCATAAAACACCTTTTTAAAACAAATTACAAAAACCTTTAGTACTCAGCCAGTTTCTAACATAAGGCAATGCTATTAACTATCAATATACAAAGCAAAATTTTCCTGACTCCTCATACTTTTAGATACTTCACTTGTTATCTTTGTGAACATCAAAAAATCCTTTTGGAGGTTTCTGATCTGATGCTACAGGCATCAGATACTTAAATTTAGGAAGTTAAATATTTACTCAGAAGGTCTGTGATGAGATTTTTAGAGATACTATTGTTTGGAAGTACAAAATAGAGAATTTAAATATTAAAACATAGTATTACCTCTTTTTTGGGGTTTTTGTTTGTTTGTTTGTTTGGTTGGTTTTTTTTTTTTTTTTTTTTTTTTTTTTTGGTCTTTTTCCTTTTTATTGGTACTGAGGCTTGAACTCACAACTGCCTGCTTTCAAGGCAGGCACTTATGCTGCTGAGCTAAACCCCCAGCCCCAGTATTACTTCTTTTTAAAATTTCAATAAAGCATTGAAATTTTATTTATATTTCACTTTAGAAAATGAACTAAGCATTAAACATAATTCAAACATGAACCTACAGAACAGGATCCAAAAGTCTTTGCTTCAGCACTATTTCAATGCTAGCTGATAGCAGATTCCAATAGTGAATTTCAAGACAGGCAAGGAAAACATGATTCAAGACAAAATACTATTGATGGAATTTCATTTTAAGATATTTTGTTATGGCTGCATTATGTCCTTTTTTAAAGGTCAACATTTTATATTTTCTCAGCCTAAGTCACCAGCAGCCTGGTCTTACTTAAAATGGACCATGACATACACATCCAGGGTTTTTGGAAATCAAGGTGACAATTATCTGCAAGACTTCCAGTCAGTCCACTGAGTCAACTTTTTTCCTCTGGTCTCATTTACATGAAAATATTATGGATGTAAATATTATATTCATTCTAAAATCTCTGATTGGGACACTTAGCAGAAAAAAAAATCTTATCTAGGACAATGAGAATTATGTACAATTTCTAGAGTAGCTAGAATCTAGATTGAATTAGAAAGCTAATTCATTAGGGTTGTTTCAAAATTATAGGGAAAATGTTATTTTTAGAAAGGTGGAATCATTTTCTGCCTGGAATCATTTGTCTTTTGAAAGCTAGATTAGCTTAAAATGATAGTAAAATACATCACTTTAAATTGTATTGAACTGCCAAAGTAAGCCTCTAGTAGCAGGTCTGGATTGTATTTATTTTACCACCTGCCTGCCTCAAAAACAAGAGATTATATTTCATTTCTTTTGCATATAGCTAAATTCAGAGATTGAGAAATAAGGTTGGACAATTTCTTTGCTAATTCTGATACACCCTGCACTCAGGAGAAAGTACTAAGTTTCAACAGTGACTCAATATTTATTTTGTTACTGACTGTAAAACATGTACCATTCAAAAATGAATAGTCCAAAAAAAGTCATTTTTTAAAATTTTATTATTATTTTTTAGCAATAAGAAGGTGCAGTTTATTTACATCAGCAGCCATAAGGGTAAGGGAAACAGATAAGAGTTAAACCAGCTATCTGTATAGGATGGATTACTTATGCAAAAATAAGAATCTCCAAAATAAAGGACAGTGGTAAATTTCACACTACCCTCCCCCAATAATCCCAGCATGCGATAATGCCAGGCAGTGGCCCCTGGGCATGCGGCATTAGGAAATAATTATGGGGAAAAAAGCCACAATCCACAAAAATTTTAAAGAACCCCTTTTCCCCATACACACATACACACTCAAGATACATAATAGGATTACAGAGTGATCAATACAATTAATTGAAGAGGGAAGGATAGGAATTCTGAGGTTATAAGGAAAGTAGATAGGGAAAGGGAGAGTTCTAACCACTGTCAAGTATACTGTAGGGAACATTACCTCCTTTAAAAAGTAGTATGTCCCCTCAGGGTGCCTGCTACCCACTTTATACCTTTCCAAGGGCAGAGTGCTATTGCCCTAAGGATGGTGGTACTGGGGAAAAACATAACTAAACAAAAAACAAGAGGGAAGCAATGTGAATCAATCTTTACTCAAAATTTTGTACCTCACCTCCCTCATCTAACCAGAAGTATAAGCTGAAAAGGAAATACACAAACAGTAAACTCACAATTTCGGTGTCCTACATAAAAGTGAGTGAATTACTGTCTTCCTCCCTTATGCATCTTGTTTCCAAAACACTGTTTAGAAGTATGCCACAATCTTATACCCTCCTTCCCTTTTGGATTCTCTTAGGAGGTATCACTATACATTGAGGGCAGAGATAATTCCAAATTATTCTTGTCAAGGTTTGATTTTTTTGAAAAGTTCCCACAACTTTTGGATTGAAGGTCAATAGTAACTAGGACTCAAACCCGATCAGGACAAGTCTAGGGGGAGAAGGCAATATAGTCTCAAGGCCCAATCACTCTGGTTTTAACTCTCCAAAATATAAATCCACATCAGTCCATAGAGTTATTTTCTGGGATAAAAAAAGATATGTACACAGCAAAGATAAGAGAAAGTGGATCACTGTTCTATCTCTGTCCCAAGAGGCAGTATCCAAAAGGAAGTGGCATAAAACTCATCAAAACAAAGCAGAAGGGCATACTAGAAAGGCAGTCCTACAGAAAAAATTCTTATATTTTATGACACTGCCTTATAAATACATAAGTTTCTAAGTTCTTCCCATTCTGATCCAAATAGTCTCCTTTGAGTTATCCACAAAAAGAGGTAGGAGGGGAGAACACACAAACTTAACAGAAGCCAAGGAAGAGAAACTGGGCAGACTTCAGAAACATTAAGCAAGATAAACTGAAACTGGTCAAGGTGAAAGTCTGAGTGGCAAGAAGCACCTGGAGTCATGAGCTGCACCAGATAGGCAGTGGAGCAGTGGACAGGAACATGGGGCCAAGCCAGGATGAGGCTGGGCCCCTTACTGGGCCACAGAATGAGGTAAGAAAACATTTCAAATAAAGCAGCACCTTTCTGTTCACATCAGGACTCCTATGAACTATATGAACTCTTGCTCAGGGAGTAGAGGGCAGTTTTGATATGCAACTCTAACTTTCCACCATCCTGTATCCCATTCCTAAAGCCAATGTGTTTTGGAGGCCTCTTCCTTACTTCCCAAAACAAAAAAGGGACAGCTCTTGCTGTCAGTGTGGTCCAAAGAGGACCAAGAGGGAAGGTCTGATTGCTTCTTATGAGGGGCAGAGAAAGTGGTAGAGTGTCTGAGTGTTCATCATAGCAGAGCCCTAAATGTTCAACTTAAAGAACAGTGGCATGTAACAGGATTCTGCAGCCAGCTAATAGATGAACCAGTTCTGCCCCTGGTTCCTATCACTAACCCATTCACATTATTAAGGGCAGCTGGAAGAGGTTCCCTCCAAGCTGTTTCCAAACCACTCCATCCTGCACAGCTATATCTTCTATAGTTCAGTCCTGTCCCAGGAGTAGTAACCTGACATAATGACCGGATTGGACCCATGGACTAGCTAAGTAACTAGTAACTTAAGAGTAGGAAAGAAATGCCTCTACTAAGCTTATGTTCACAGAATCTTCCAGTTTGAGAGGATGCATACTCTAGTTGCAGAGGTCCCTACCACCTCTGCACAGAATCACAACTGAATCCTGTCTGTCCAACAAGTTGTTCTTTGTCAAGCCTGTATCGCTGAATAGGAAGAAAAGGAAGAATCTCTGCTCAACCAAAGTTTAGGCCTTGTCCTCAAACCTGCTGAAATCATTGCAACGTTGGACCTTTGAAAAACAGGTGATTCTGAACCTTTCTTCTTGTAGTCAAAGGAAGAGGTTCCCTACCAAATTCAACTGGGATTTTTCTCTTGGTTGTTCTAAGTTGGTAATAGTATCCAGATCTCATACCTGACTTCCATTTGTATCACAAAATTGCAAATTAAGAGTCTTGGAGATCATAGGAGCAGTCCCACTGATGGCCTGATCATCAGTAATGTCCACAATGTCAAGGAAACTCTTGACATCAAGCAGACAGACAGTCTGAAGAGCAAAATGACTTTATATGCTGGGCATTCAACTGCTCATGTGTGTACTGAGAGCAGTACAGGGATCTTGTGTATATTCAGTTGTGTTTAAGCAGTCCCTAGGTTGTACATTCGCTCGGGCCCAGGGTATCAGAGCTGGCATTAGATGAGTTTTTTTAAAAAGCATTCGAATTTCAAAGTTCTCCACTTTTGTTGTTGTTCTTTTTAATGTTAGGATCTTCAAGGGGAAATTAGGGCTTTTGTCTGATTTGTTTTCTTTTCTTCTCTTTGCTCTTTTCTCTTTAGCTTACTCCTTCAAGCCACAAGACCAGTCTATATCATTGTCCTGGTCACTCCCAGACTGTCGTGTTGCACCTACTGAAATTCTGGAGGTGAGCGCTGCAGCTGCTGATCAGGCCCATTCCCTGGTTCTCCAGGAAGGGAGCAGAGCGGGAGACGGCACGCTCCTTTGTCTTCCACTGGCTGAATGCCAAAATCCTTCACGCCACCGGTTTCTGCGAATTCCAGGTAGAAGTAGCCACATTTGACTGCTCGGTGCACCTCAAAGCAGAATCCCAAACAAGAATCCTCTATCAGGTCTACGTATATCTCCTGAGCGATCGCCTCTAGCTTGTTAGTATCCAGGTTAGCCAACGATATTTCCTCCATTTTAATCTGTACACGGCTGTGCAGAGGGTGTTCGTTTTACTCACGGCAGCTACACGTCGGGGTTTACCGGAGGCGCCTAGGCCTAGAGGCCTCCCAGGGCCGCGTCCTGCGGTGGCTGAGGCGGCGGCGGAGACAGTGAAGGAGTCTCAGGCGGCAGAAGCAGCGGCAGCTGCGAAGGCTCGGAAGCCTCAAGTCTTTCCGTTTGTTTTGACGTTTTCGCGAATTCGGAGATCTGAGCAGCGCCTGAACTGGGACGCGGCCGACAGTCTCGGTCCTAGCGCAGCACTCAGGGCCTCTCTCGCTCGCTGGTCGCGCCCGGCCCCGCCTACCCGCTTCCGCTTGTAGCGCGCCTGCGCACTGATTCGGCGCAGACGCGCGCAGAAGCTCCTAGCGCGCTGCTTGTTTGGCAGATTTGCAGTTTAGGAGAAGCAGTGGGAAGCGCTCAAGTGTTCTTCGTTCTCATCGCTGTTGGGAAAAAGATTGCAAGGGTGCTATTTCATATTTCTTGATTTATAGATTTAACTTTTCACCGATGAATTCCGCACCTGTGTTTTAATGATTCCTTTCAGAAATGGGGAAAAATAACCTGAACTTTTGTAAACACTGAACTATTTTAGGGACAGTTTACAGACATTTGAAAATGTGACATCAGTTGAGTTGTGTTTATTTCTATCACTGCCGCAGTTGTCATTTAAATCCGCTAGATGGTGCAAGAAAACAAATTACAGTATATTTTAACTTTGAGTCTTTTTTTGAATGAAAAATGTAGAAAGTAGGCACTAACAGTGTAATTCTTATACATTGATCAAATAAACCCGAGGCATTTATCTTACTTAAAAGATTATTAAGTCAGTGTGATTATACAGAGAGAATTATATGCATCACTAAAAGGGTTCAAAGATAAAAATATGTGTGTGTTCTGTCTTCAGATCGAGGAAGCCTGAAAGAAAGGTTTTTTCCTGAAGTTATGCAGTATGAATTGTGAGAATTGAGGCCAGCCTAGCCAAGTTTAAGTCCTGCACCCATCGCTTAATAATTCTGTTTCCCGTTCTAAATAAAACTGGTCCTTGTTTACTGGTTAGGTTTATATTGTTAAACATCCTTTTGAAACGGCGTCTTCTAAGTAAGGGTTCAGCATATATTAGCTCTTTTTAGTCGTGTTACAAGCAAAGTAACGTAAGTATATAGTAGAATGTAATACATTATATACATTACAATACATTATAATACAATACATTAGATTCTAATTATAGATATATAGATACAGAAAGAGAGATGTAGAGACTTAGGCTAGTACTGGGGATTGAACTTCACAATGAGCTACTATATCCTCAGCATATTTTTAAAATTTTTCATTGTTACTTTAATTTAAAGGCTCACTAAGTTGCACAGGCTGGGCTCAAACTTGTGATCAGCATCCCAGACTGCTGGGGTTACAGGCTTGCACCACCATGACTAGCTTATTTTTTTCTTATAAACAATCCTCTCACCAGACCCTTATTTAGATCACCAATAAACTATGGAGTTTTTATGTGTGTTATAACTGAACTGTAATAACTAGCGCATTGTTCTAGGAATAGGTGGATTACATGCTGAAATACATTTTTAGGATCTATATTTAAAAAATGATTATTATGGGTTTGCAAGAGATACAAAGGTGCCACCCAAAGCGATTTGGGTGCCATGCTAAAATTTTAATGTCTGAGATAAATGGATGATTGGAATCTAACCTGCTCATCAATGAAATCAAGGCAATATCTGGAAATTTATTACTTATAACAAATCCAAATGATGATCTCCTAAAAATAAATACAAAATAATTCTAAACTAACAGTAACTGGAAGTAGAATATTAAACTAAGTGAAAATAACAATCTTAGTACAGTAGCTAGTGTAGTAAAATAGTTTTAAAAGTTGGCTTTTTGTTTACATCAAATCTTCTGAAAAAGTCAAATCTACAAAATAACTTCAGAGGACTTGTTTGCATCATTTCATATGTACAAGCTTATGGTTTTAAAAATATTTTAGAGTGTCACACTGTCCTTGAAGATTGCAAAATATTCTTAAACAAAAATAGAACGATTATCGATGATCCTTTCTTGTGTGGGAAAGTCTACTAAATAGTACAGAAATGGTTATCTGTCATTTGTGTAGATGTAAGGATTGGTGCCATAAACATAAACACTAAAATAATTTATTATTGGGCAATATGGATATGGTAACAATTAACAGCAAATGTTAACCCATACCTCAAGGAAATTTCAAATTTATAATAAAGTATAATACTAAAGCTAAAACTGGTGGCACACACTGTAGTCCCAGCACTTGTGTGGTTGAGGCAGGATTGTCATGAAGCTAGTTTGGCTATATGTTGAATTTCAGGCTTGCCTGAACTATATAGTAAGACTCTGTGTCAAAAAATATAATAATATTGCAAATAATATCTATATACTTATCTTTCACCCAAATTTACTTAATATTCTGCCACTTTTGCATTTCCCCTATTTTCCCCCAAAGATTTACTTATCATAAAAATGAGTTTTATCTGTAATGGAAATGGAATACAGAATTTTTTGTGCTGAATTACATCCTCAGCCTTAAAAAAATTATGTTGATATATGCTCCTACTAAATCACTTAATTGCCAGGGCTGGGCTCTAACTTGTGATCCTGCCTCAGCGTCACAGAATGTTGAATTACCATGCATGGCTACAAATCCAAACTGCTGCTTTATCGTGAGTCATTTGATAGTGAATTGAGGGCAGTATGCCCTAGTTTGATTATATTATTTCAATGTGTATGGGCCTTGACCATCTTCTATGTAATGACAATACAAAGATCACACTTAGTAACTCCAGCTACTGATTAACAAAAACTATGTTTCAAAGTAAAATTCATATTCAAATGTTGCCAATTATCATAATAGTCTCTCATATAATAATATTATATATAGTAAAACTGTTGTGAGTTTTCGGTCGTTTTAAACCTGACAGTTTTATGGCAGAGAAATTTTGAAGCTAACACGTGATAAATATGAGATCAAAGATGTTCAACTGCAGTATAGTATTGAAAAATAATTTTAAAACATTCAAGTTCCCTAATAAAAGTCTGTATTAAAATATTTATAGGTTAAGACTATGTAAAATTGCTTAAAAAGAAAGATTATAGTAAAGAAAACTCATCTATTAGAATAGCTTTACAAGGCTAACAAATCAGGATTTTTTTCAACATAGATGCTCTCCAGAATTTGTATTTCAATCATTGTAAAATATATTTAATGTCAATATATTGATTCCTTTTTGTTTCTTGCTAACCAGTGTCCTTTAGGAGATCTTGATCTTGTTAACTTTAGTTTCACTAAGAACTGGAGACCATGAATTCACAATGAGTAATTTTGTATACTTCCCTAAGGGATAAATGGGGGGTTTGGTATCACTCTTTTAAGACTTCCCATTAACTCTTGGGATGGGCCATCCTTTCCCACCCACTAAAACTGAACTAAGACTACTAAAATGAAACAGAACACTCTAGAGCAAGATCCTTCTTAGCATAAGAACATCTCCACTCTCTGGAGACATCCCAGGCTTACCCATTGCCTGCAGAGTCATCAACCTCTGAATCTTCTGCTGTCCTGGAATCTTCCTCTAGCCTCTCCTATCACTGAATAAAACTGCATTGCATTGTACATGCAATTCCAATAAATAGTGGATGGTTTGGAGTACCCGGGTCTTTGCCCATATTGAGACTACTGACCTGCCAGGGCCCCATCATGCATTATTAAATTTGTCTCTGTTTTTTATTTTATCCTTCACTGTACCTATCCTACAGGCAGTTGAGGATCTTGGCCATGCCCTGATAACTAAGCACAATACATTTTGGAACTATGTCTCTGAAGCCTAGTGAAGAGTTTATATCATGACACAAAAACTTGTGCTTGAATCTATCTTTATAAGTAAAACACACTATTAGTTGCTAATATCTATCAGAATATACAAATAGTAAGGGAAGTTGAGTAGACTCACTGAGAAATGTTCATGACATATTTTTAGATTCATTCATTGTATCAGAAAAAGGAAGAAACTAAAAGTATACCTTCATTGCTGTTTAAGGAGAAAAAAAAACCCAAAAACTAAGTCTGATGTTGCATGAATTATCTAACCAGTTAGTGGTAGAGTTAGAAGTGAATATCAAGGGTTCTGATGCTTAATCTAATTTTGTTTTTGTTGACCTATAGTTTTTCCAGAATTCACTGTTTTATTGCAAAGTTTTTAGTACTGACTGTTGTCTGTAATTTATTTCAAAAATCTTTATCATTGGCATTAGTATGTAATATATCAAAATGAAGCTACTCGCCTATACCAATGATAGAAGACATGAAATACAGCTTAGGCACATTTTCCTTAATGTTCTCTGATTGTTTTATTCTAAAGGGTCAAAAGAAGTGTTTTTCCAATTAACAAAGTATCCATTCTGAGAAAGTATTACACATCTATTTGAGAAATGTCTCTGGAGTTTAAAGAATCAAAAAATTCACACAAAATTTCTTGCTAACCAAAAGTAAAATTTTTACAACCTTTTCATTAAAATTTTTTATTGTTTGGTTTAAAGTTTCTTTAAAGTTTCTTTCTTTGTTTTTCCATAGCTTTTTACCTTTAAGTTGAACACTTTATCTAATTGATTAAACATACTTTTTCCTAATTTGACTAAAGCCTATTATGTTTGTTTTGTTTGTCTTCTCCCATCAAGAGCTGTCTCATATTTTCTTAAGTCAAGCTGTCAAACTAGTGGGTGGGATGCTTTTACTTTTATATTTTACAGATAGGCATCTGGCAAATGCCAACAAGTAAAAGATTAATACTCTTGCAAAAATCTTGCTAATGTGAAATTAAAATCAGTTTTAGTTACAAACATAAGAGATAAGAGTATCTCAGAATCTTACATAGAGTAATTACTGATATTTTTTACTCAAGCATTTGTATTTCTCTTGTTGGATATAACCTCGCATAATTTTGCTTGTTTTCATTTGTGTTGAGCATCACAAGAGCTCTTTTCAGTTATCAAAGAATTTGTAGAAAATTGATTTGTTTCCATTCTCAGCAATGCCCTCTATCCTCCCTTTTTATGTATTTTCTAATAGAGCATCGTGTTCTTAGCCAAACTATCAAAACATCTTTTAAATTATCTTACCCTAACTATATCAATCCTGTCTTTATTAATATTATATTTTACTGCATATTTCTTAGGTAGGCCCCATTACTAGTCTATATTTATTTGAGTGAACCATGAGTGAAGCCCCAATACATCCACCCTCCAATCTCAGTGAGATTTTCCTCCCACTTTCTG